CCTTTTTATATGAAAACCGTCGTCTTTACATATAATAGACGACGGTTTTTTTTATAAAAAGCGTCATCTTTACATATAATAGACGACCCTTTTTAAAAAAAACCGTCATCTTTACTTTACAATAGACGACCCTTTTTTACAAAAAAGCGTCATCTTTATATATAATAGACAACCCTTTTTTAAAAAAAACCGTCATCTTTACTTCACAATAGACGACCCTTTTTTACAAAAAAAACGTCATCTTTACATATAATAGACGACCTTTTTTTTTAAAAAACCGTCATCTTTACTTTACAATAGACGACCCTTTTTTACAAAAAAACGTCATCTTTACATATAATAGACGACCCTTTAAAAAAAAAAACCGTCATCTTTACATATAATAGACGACAGTTTTTTCAAAATAACCATGTCTTTACCAAAAAAAGGACACTTGATTTTTAAAAGACGACGCTTGTCATATCTGCTGTCGTCGTTTTTTGGTCAGATTTTAACTCTGAATAAAAAAATATTCAATAGTACCTCCGTTTTTTAGTTGTTTAAGTCACTTATCCATGACGGTTTTTTTTATACCGTCGTCTTTTTAAACACAACGACGGTTTTTTCTTTTACCGTCGTCTTTTTCACTTTTTGTAGTAGTGAGTGAAATTATTCATTACATGGAGTATTTGATTTTATTAAGTTTCCGATGTGAGACTTTAATATTCTTCAACTTCGCTCTCCTCATTCTTCCCTTGATTATTTTTTTCTACACGAATCATAAATCTCATCCAATGGTGTTTTAAGGTTCAGACCCAAAAGATAATCCTTCATATAGTGATTAAGAAGGTAGAAACATATCTACATAAATATATAAAGCAAAAGGCAGAGAATGGTGAAACATTCAAAATACTAGAAAATGCCTTTGGTTAATGCAAACATTAAGAATTGAAATTATTAATTAAATGAGGATAATATGGTAAATTCACGCTTTTTTATATTTAAAAATTTTTAAATTGAAAGAAAAATTAAATAATAGATCCTCTTTTTATGGAACGCAACTACTTATTATCTTTTTTAATTCTAAAATAAATTTAATTTTAAAAAAAAATTCTCTCACAAGTGCAAAAGCACGTGTAGAAAATTAGTAAAAAGAAAAAGAAAAGTAAGATAAGATTGGGAGGAGACAAGGGAAAGGCCCCCTTAGAACGAAATTCAGACCCAATACATGACATCAAAACGTCAGAAAAACGAGTGGACACTGGTAATTGAAAGCCAGAATTAGATTGAATATAATATTGACGTGGATGGACCTAACTACTATAGAGACAGCAAAATACGCGGCGGTGGGATGCACATTGCGGGAATAACCCCAAACAAATAAACAAATACACTTTCGTTTTGCAACAATCCTTAACAATTTTATGTAAAAACAAGATTAGTAAATATATTACGTTAGAATATAAAATGTCCTTGATAATTTTCTGTAAAAACAAGATTAGTAAATATATTAGATTAGAATATAAAATGTGAGCATTCAACACAAAACCAATTCAGATGGAGAGGCTCAAGATATTTCAAGAATTATTGCCAAACTTCTATCTTGTAATGTGTCTCACTATTTGGTCGCAAAGTCCAATCTCTCCTCTCTCTGATTTTAACCTTTTAGGTAGAGCTATACAGACTATGACGGGGTTAGACAGAGAGCACATGTCGTTCGGCTAATTGGTCCACAGGCAGCCATCAAAGTCACCAAATCCATGAGTGAAATCAAGAAACGCGGCTGCTGAAGACTCCAACTCTATACATATTTTATTACAAAAGGGAACGGAGATATATAATATTCTCACCTTTGTTCCCTAATTGACTCCAAAATTTTTGCGTTGTTCCAATAGTGATATAGTACGGTGAAAATAGATAGTAAAAGATGAAAGTTAAATAATACCGTACCTATAGTGATTCAGTGATACATATTTTTTCACCATTGGAAGAGATATTAAGTTTTAAGGCCCAATGCTAACAGGGTCTAACTCAATGAAAAATGACATTTACTTGCAGATTAGTCACATGCCACCTTGGTAGTTTGTGAGAAACCTCCCTCCACTTAATTTAGAGTATCGCTTGTATTTAAAAATAAAATAAAAAAATTCTAAGGCCTAACAAAATAAAGTAAGCTGAAACTGAACGGAGGCATAGATGGTTAGCAACTATATTTATTTCCTCATTAACGCTAAGCTGACATATCAATGGCTTGGCCTCAGTTCCCTCAGTAGTCCCCCATTGGAAGAGTCCTGATACCAGCAAAAACCATGTTAGATTTTAATAACATAGGTTGGGAGACCAGAATAGAAACACTCGTTTCCAATTATCATCTCACCACAAGGATGATAAGTGACAAAACTAACGACAACGGAGGAGATGACAATAATAAAGAAAGATGGGGGGAAAAGTCCACATACAAAAGCCATTGAATGTGGAAAATTAAACCAATCTAGATTATGTAGGCCATAATGTAGACTCAAATTAACTTAAATTCACATAAAAGTCCAAAATCTTTGAAAAGATTAATGCTGGACGAACACAAATTCAAATCTCCACATTTGGAAGAGTGAATCATTTGTTTTTATCTACACCGACATCAACTTGGTACTATTTTAAACTACTAAAGCACTGTCATGTCATTTTCCATTAAATACTAAAACTCAATTTTTATTTACAGTTACCATTATTGCAATCAATAATCAATCGGTCGGGTTATTTATAAAGAATTTGTTGCTCAAATGATTAAGAGAATTTACCATTTACACTTGAGATTCTCTCTCAACAGCACTTGTATCAACAATCATCCGTACCAATTGAAAATCTATCTTCTCTGCCAACGAGGGTTGGTCGATTTAATAAGGATCATTCTCTTCACTATCAAGGCCTAGATTCAGGTTCCACTGCCAACAATTCCTCTCAGTGGGTAATTTATAAAAGCCATAAAAGGGGATAAAACCCCCCTTTGTAAATCCTCAAAAAGATCTTGATATGCCCTGGGCTCTGAGATGATATAGCCTCCCGTCATTTAAACTTTTATTCAGCCAAAAAAATCTTACTTTTCCTCTCATGAATTTGAAAATCCTGACTGTTAACTATGAACCAAATTGACCAAGATCTTTTGACACATGTACTGCCGACAAAGGCCTAAGAGCACTATAAATAGCAACCGATGCCGTCCAGATACCATCACAAAAACCCAAACACCATGAGTTACTCAAAGTTGCTTGTGCTATTGTTTGGCCTGGTGGTTCTCATCACTTCATCTCTAGCTGAGTACAATGAAAAACCCAAGCCACCCACTCCTTCTCCTATTTACAAGCCCCCAGCTCCCATCAAGAAGCCACCACCAATAGTGCCCAAACCCAAACCACCAACTCCTTCTCCTATTTACAAGCCCCCAGCTCCCATCAAGAAGCCATCACCACCAATAGTGCCCAAACCCAAACCACCAACTCCTTCTCCTATTTACAAGCCCCCAGCTCCCATCAAGAAGCCACCAATAGTGCCCAAACCCAAACCACCAACTCTGCCTCCTATTGTACATGCACCGCCGCCTACGCCGGTGACCAAGCCACTTCCACCACCTTATCCTAAGACACCAACTCTACCTCCTGTTGTGAAACCACCCACACCTAGTTACCCTAAATACCCTCCTCCAATCAAGGCTCCTCTACCCCCACAAAAGCCAGAAGGGAAGAAACCTCTACCTCCAACTCCATATAAGAAGAAGCCTCCCCCATACTACAATCCACCCCACAAACCATGAACTCCACCTGTCCATCTCAACTAGTGAGTTAGAATAAATGAGAGAGAGCCAGTTGCTAGCTAGAAATAAGAGTTCTGGACACCAACTCATTTTGCAGCAGCTTCTAGTGTGACTCCATTATAAGTACTAGTAATTTGCAGGAATTTTCATGTCATGTGGTTATGTATCAGCAAGTTGTTTCTTCACTTGTGGCTGATTGAGCATGTTGTCTCTTGCTTTATATATGTATGCAATATCAATTTCCAACTGCAGTAATACTATTACTTGTGTTTTATGATATTGTAAAATTGGTTGGTTGATATTGTATATGTTTTTAAATCACAAAACCCTCCATGATAAACAAAGCTTTCACAACATACAGAGAATGATTGGTCCGCAAACACAATAATCCACATCACGAAATTCACTATAAATATAATGCCAGCTTCATCAATGGAAGAGCATATATATATATATGTGTGTGTGTGTGAATCTAGCAGCAGACAATGGCAACAAAAAGTAGTTCAATATATATTTATATCTATCGACAAATTGGAAACCGTTTCGACATCCAATTGTGTCCCTCAAAATCAATGAACACGATTCTTTAAGAAAGTACTAAAATTTCAATAACTCAAATGAATGGTCAAATGATATCGGATTCAAGTATTTTTTGTAGAGATAATCTTTGAATGATTATCTAAAACATAGACGGTTTGGATTAGTAAAATACAATGCGGAGTGGGCCCTACAAAGGTGTCTATCAAATTAGCTTATTTAAGGGATCCCTCAATGGAAGCTCTCTGTATATATAGGGTCCCCTACGAATTGTTTTTCAATGATCCAAACCATCTATTTCTTAAGCCTACATTTATAAATCATCCTTGAAAAAAATTAGACAAATGGAAACTATTTCGACATCCAATTGTGTCCTACAAAATTAATGAACACAGTGCTTCAAGAAAGTACTAAAATTTCAATATTTCAATTGAATGGTCAAATGATATCGGATTCAAGTGATTCTTTGTAGAGATGATTTTTGAATGAATATCTACAAAATAGATGGTTAGGATTAGTGAAATACAACAAAGAGTGTGCCCAACAAGAATGTATCTCAAATAAGCTTATTTGAGAGATCCCTTAACTCAAACTATATATATATATATATATATATATATATATATATCTTTTACTTGTAAAATAACCCCATCGCTTAAGAAAATTATATATATATATATATATCTTTTAAGCATCCCTTTCTTCTTTACTTCATCAGTAGCCATGATCTGCTTAAGCAACAAATTTTCTAGGATGGAAAAATGTGGGTCATGTTAATTCAGTCTTTTGAATGGCATTATTCCTCCAATTAGGTTAGGCCATAAGCCCACAAAACCGAATTTCTTTATTTTTCACATCGAGCAATAATATTTTCCATTTGAGACTGACCCTACCTTCAAATGAGAAGGACCCAACCAGCTCCAACTCAAAAATCAAACTAATTAAACAATAAACGACGTCAAACGCAGAAAAGGCACAACCCAAATAATTTGGAAATAGCCCAAAACAAGGAAATATAACTAAGCCCAAAGAACAAGAAATGGGCTCCAACCTCAGCCAAGGTAACAAACAAAACAAGGAGGCCGAAATCTAACGGCCCAGATACAATAAACGGAGGCCCATAAACATATTGGCCCAACCAAAAGATAAACAAAATCTTTGCATTGTTCCAACTCTCTAGGCCGTTTGGTTTGCAAATTTCATGGGAATGAAATTACCATGTCTAATTCCACAAGATGGGAATGGTAGATGTTCATGCTCATGTTTGGGAACGCTAGGAAATGAGAATTAGGAAAAGCCATTTTCTCGCGTTCCCATGTTTGGTTTGTGTAGTATTATGAATGAAAAGTTTTTAAGTTTTTCAACAACACTATTTTAATATAAGCGATAGTCTAAACTACAAAAGGGAGGGGGGGTTCCTCACATACACACTACTAAGGTGCCATCTAGATTCAAACATAAGATCACTGACCTGCAAGTCAATGCTCTTTTCCACTAGGCTAGACCCCATTTTAAGGGTCAATAGACGAAGAGTTTCCCAAAGAGCACTAAAGGTATGGAATTTTCCCTACACGAGAATTTCATACCAATGAGTTAGGTATTGTATTCTTAAGAATGCAATTTCATACAACTTGCTAAGCTCCTAAACCTTGAACTAAACAACCCATCTATATCTTAGAATCTCATTAGACTAACTTTACCGCCGAGCCATCTTTAATAGGCACTACACCAACATCATTTTTTTTTTAAAATGAACGGAAAAGGGATTTAAATTTGAAACCTCTTCTTGTTTTCAGAAGAAGAAAAAAAGTACTAATAGATTAAGGGCAATATGATCACACGTGTCATATTGGTTACATAAAATGTTTTCTTGTGGAGGGCAATCAAATCAATATCAGGATTCTGATGGAAACTAGCTTTCAAAAATTTCTCAAAGTGGCTTGTGCTATTGTTTGGAGATTGTGCTATAGTAGAGGAGAAACATAATTGTGTGCAAGAACTGAAATATCAATAATATCGCTGAAATATTGAGGTTATTATCTTTTTCTTTTTTTTTTAGGAAGGGGATATTTTGGAACATATCTGTGTACTTATCATATAAATATCGATAATATCGTGAAAATTTCGGGAAAATTTCGGCACCGATAATATCCTTCAATTAACATCAACATTTGGTCAATATATCGTGATAATAGCGATAATAACACAATATGGACATGGAATAGAAAATATAAATAATGAAAAGGCTTGTACGCGCGTACGCATGGGGATTCGAACCCGTGCCACTTTAATTCTTCCTCCAACACCTTATTCCCCACACTGCTGATGACTTTGTTATACGCAAAACCAACTCTTTCCCTACCCTTCGTATCCCATGCCTTTTGGGATGGAATCAAGCGGCTCATGAAAAGAATCTGAGACCAAATCTTCAAATGATTTTGCTTATGGGCACTGTCAACCAATCTTGGATCCATATGGGTGGCATGTTAACAATTACATGCAAAGCTATTTTGGGGATTTATCATTTGATGACTACTCTTCATAGTACACGTACTCTACACATAGAGACGATGAAGACAATGAAAATTTTGAACCTCATAGGAACTCTATGTGGTACTAAGTCACTTATGTATCTTACCATGCAATGTATAAAGTGTAAAATATTATAAATAAATGATTATGGTGCGTTTAATCTTTTTTTATTAATTACTACATATTTTCTACACTTAGTGTTTGTCAATTTGCTATATAATCAACTTAAATAAATCAAAATAAACAACCTCTAAATGTTTCAATCAAAATTTTGAAAATTTTCTTACAATTTTCGTGGTTTTTATTCAATTTTTCTTGATATCGATAATTTCCATCGATATTTTTCGTATTTTTGGACCCCTATATTTCCGAAAGGGGACTGATTTTCCCACTCCCTTTTTATCCACTTACACTCCATTTGTTTAAAATTGTATGTTCTCACTCATTTTTTGTTCACTTACACTCCCTTTTATCTTATAGTAAAAAGTATTAAAAAAACAAAAGGGAGTGTAGGTGGATGAAAAGGGAGTGGGAAAATCACCACCTTTTTCGAAACCCTCGATATTTTAGACCTTTTTTCATATAAGAAGATTTCATTAATAAGCCAAAATGGCATACAAAGACTAGCATGAATACAATAGCCTCATTAAAACCTTCACAGGAAAACCACTTTAGACAAGCCCCAGGATAGGAAAGAGTACCACACATGCCAAGGACTAAGACCCAGACCACAAAAGACCGTTACAAGAACAGAAAAAAAAATCAATTAAACACTAACACAGTAGACCCATAAAGAGAACCACATCGCATCCCAATTGTCAAAAGAAGCCTTTTATGAGAAAAACTCATAGTCCTTTGACCGCCTACGAACTGCAAAAACACACAAAGGACAGCAAAACAGACGCTAAAACCGAAGATGAAACCCCTCAGAAGGTACATGTTCGGTTCATTTTTACACATGATTTTTCATGTTATTCACCCACTATTTTGAGTTAGTTCTTGACATTTTATAGCTTTTTACTTCCTTTTTGTGTTTTCTTAGATTTTACCTTGGTTGGAATGAAAATGAGCTAAAAGTGCATTATTGGTTATAAACTTTGTTTTTGTTCATTTTCGTAGGTCAACTTCTTGGCCTGGGATCAACATGCTCTGGTGCTCGGATGAGGTCATGATCTTCATGAGACTTGTTCCAATGGATGTTAACTACAACATATCCAAATTTGAGCTCCATTGGACAAGTATTGCCTATCCAACCAATCCAGCATGTTACCACAGCTCTGGAAATCCGGAATTGGCCAGCTTTTACCCCCATTGTGTCATCTTGATTATTCTTGTTACCATAACACTTGGTAACAAGAATTTACCTTAGTAGATGAGATATTTTCTGAAGCATTTGGCATCTTCGTGAGGACAAGGCTTCATCATTTGCAAGGGGACAAGAAGACAATGGGTGAAGACTTTGTATTAGAATACTAAAAGTAAAAGCTGGAAAGGAGGAGAGAGGGAAGCAAAAGGAAATTGCAATCTGAAGTTGGGGAGCCTTTTGAACGTGGGGAAGGAAGTCATTGAGGGATTACACAGAGGAGAGCAGATTTTGGAGAGCTTGGAGCTTGGAGAAAGCCAAGGTGCAGCCAAGAAAAGTGGAGAAGAAGACTTCCACCATTGATAATCTTGAAGCTTTCATTATTTTCTGAAAATCTGTAAACTCTTTCTAATTTCATTTTGAATTTGTGTTTGAAATGATTATGAGGAACTAAACTCCATAGCTAGGGCTTAGGTTGAAGCCCTAAACATGATTACCTTATTGTTTTGATACTTGAGTGTATGAATTTCTAGATATTGTTGATGAATTCCAATTCACCAAATTAATCTATCCTTGATGTATGTTCTTCTTTGATTGATCACCTTTGAAAGCATGCTTCTTGAGATTGTTGGGATTATGTGTATCTTCATGTTATCCTAAGCAATAAATGGATGAAGTAAGAATCATCCATGTGAATTGGTTTCTTGAATACCTAATGTAAACACCATGCTATCAGGATTCTTGTGATGTT